CCAAGTTTCCCAAATTCCAAATTTCTCAAGTGTCAAATCTCCCAAGTGTCAAATCCTCCCAGTACCGACCAAAAGAAGCGTCCTATCAAAAAACATGAAAAAGTCGGAAAATAATTGTATTATCTTATTGCAGGAAACTCAACCATCGATCAAGCCGATACCCGAGAACACCCCAATGTCGAACAACGAAACAACGAACCCAGAGCCCGGAAAGCTGCCTCAAAGCAACGTCGAGAAGCTAGCATCCGCTCTGAACAACAAAGTCACCATAAAAGTGAATCCAGAGAATAATAATAATCGATAAGAAGTTAGCCGTCGTTTAAGTCGAACATACCGATTAGGAGTCCACCATGTACCTCTGCCACTTTGTACATTTTTGCACGTTCTTTGAACCTACATCGATTTTATTCTAGATGAAAGACCGCTCCCCCTATTGGCGAGCTTCTTTTTTACGTCTTTTACCTGTACGTCTTTTTTTATATGTTATTTATTACCGTATTATAGCGAGTAAGGAGTTAAAAAAAAGGCTAAACACCCTTAATTAACCGGGACAACGCACTACGAAACCTTTTACCACCGTAGAACACGTTGTCTTTAAAGCTTAGTCTCCTCCGTCGACGACTATGTACGAGTCATGCTCGATGGAGGCATCGAACTGAAAAATAAACACGATTGTATGTAATAAAGTTTGTTTGTTTTTTATTGCATATTCCCTGTCAGTGTCAACTATCGTCGTAGGTACTTGTAGCTCAATATTTATATTGTACTTGAATTTGTAGTTTTATATTATTACATGCTGCATATATGGTTGTACCACTATATGTTTGAAGTCTCAAAGTTTTAAAGACTCAAACATTCCAAACTTCCAAGTACCTGAATTTTAAAATTGGAAACCTCCAAATTTCCAAACTTCCAAGTACCTAAATTTCAAGATCTGAACTTTCAACATTCCAAACTTCCAAGTACCTGAATTTTAAAATTGGAAACCTCCAAATTTCCAAACTTCAAAGTACCTAAATTACAAGATGTGAACCTTCAAAATTTCAAACTTCCAAGTACACAAATTTGAAAATTGGAAACCTCCAAAATTCCAAACTTGCAAGTACCTAAATTTAAAAATCTGCATCCTTCAAGACTTCAAACTTCCAAAACCTCAAAATACCAAATTTGCAACCTGCGATCTGTCGTCTCCCGCCATTTTCTTCAGGCGAGCTACATCTGCACTCAACTGTACTCAACTTACAATTTCCTACAACCACATTCAAGCCTATAAATTTAAAATTTGGAAACCTCCAAAATTCCAAACTTGTAAGTACCTAAATTTAAAAATCTGCATCCTTCAAGACTTCAAACTTCCAAAACCTCAAAATACCAAATTTGCAACCTGCGATCTGTCGTCTCCCGCCATTTTCTTCAGGCGAGCTACATCTGCACTCAACTGTACTCAACTTACAATTTCCTACAACCACATTCAAGCCTATCCAAGAACACAGCAAAATAAACGCCCTCTGTCATGTCTCAACTATTTGAGCACACGAGACTCGTATATTAACCTCTCCTCAAAAAACAACCTCCTCAACAACCCGTCGCAATCAAAGTGTCAAAAAAATTCTCCAGTCCCGTTGAATTCTTTAGATGATTCCTTCTAACGATCCCAGTATTTCGTTAAACAAAACGCCATGAACGCAAACAATAATCTTGCTCGTCAGAGAAATCGCGAAATGGAAGAGAACAGAATACAAAGGCTATTAGCTTCGGAGTATACAGACTTTTCTGATACCATCATCGTGGAGTCTTCTTTCGCTGAAACAACTAGAAGCGGACGAGGAATCCGTCAGGTTTCGCTTGGTCTCACGTCCACTAAGTTGATCATAGCTGCGGATGTTTTTAGAGGGACACCAGATTTTATTTGTCCTCATGATCTGGACCCTAGTATCGAGAGCTTTGAGCTGATATCGGTGTATCCTTTGCAATATGTTACCCTCAGCGTTTTCAACAGGAGACGTCGCAAAACTTTAAAGGCAAGGTAGACGTTTAGTAAAAAAGGAGACTGCTCGATACAGATAATTCTTCCTTTGAAATATTCAAACTTGTTACAAGACGATTTGCTACACGATTTAAGTATATGAGAACATGTTCTATGTAGATGTAGACATACCTTAGACCTAGACATACATTAGATCTAAAAATACCTAAACATAGAACCCTTCTTACTATAAAAATTCTGTGACATAAACATAAATTCCATTCTTACACTTCCACTTAACTAAGAAAAGCCTACATCACCTCAACGTAATTATCTCGTAATTATCAACGTACTATCTAACGTAATTAGATTCGTCGATGGAAGGACGACTTATTACGAGCTCTCCGGCATTCAAAGAAGAAACCTTCATTGGCAGAAATGGTGCAAACACATAGACCATCTACTCTCAAGAGCAGTGGATGGAAGTTCCCTATCAGAAACCACAGCCGCAAGCTCATCGAGTAGTTCAACCCTGTACATCCTATCATCGGAGATCGAGATCCAAAGAGACGCTGACAAAGGAAAACGAACAAAATGCAGGTGGTACAAGTGCTTCCTTTTTATATAATCGTATTTCACAGAAGTTATACCGAAAACAGAATATGGGCCCATTACGGAGGAGCAGGTGATCATATACCTCCAACGTGGACCAGAAAGGACTTGTACCTGGGTCCTTCTTACAACGAGTTGGCCAATGGTCACTACACACCGATTCCCGTGCGATTTGCTGGCGCGAGTCTCGAGATAATCAAGGATGAACTGAGAGATCTGTCTCCGAACCGATTGGAGAAGGCCACCAAAAGTTGGCCGACCTGCAGATGCTCTAAGGACAAGAACGGTGGACTGTGTGACGTGCTGTTCATTAGAGACCACAGTCGCAAATATTACAACGCGAAGAAGTTCTCCGTGGCCTGTCAGAGTTGTCCTTGCAATCGCCTGCAGGGGAGACTCTTGGACGAGAAACGGAACGTCTGGTACAACGAACAGACACTGTACGAGTCGTCAGCAAAGAAAGAAAAACAATCCGAAAGTCCCGACAAGTGTTTAGCAAAGAGGATATCCCGTTTCGGAATTGGAGTTCCAGAGAAATGCCACTCCGGGTTGGTCCTAGGTCCCACACGCAGGGATCGACAGTGTTACGAAGCTTCAAGGTCGAACGAGAAGAACATGATGAATCTGTACGTTCTCATGGAGAGTGGCGTGAAAGTCTGGGAAGGCGAAGAGAAAGGTCGGTGCAGGTCCACGAAACGTTTCAGACACTTCAGAAGATACGGTCTCTGCACGGCGGCGCATTTTCTTTACGCTCTCGGCCCCTGGTCCGTGCAACCTGGAGAGAGGACGCTTCTACAAGGCCGTAGATCGTTCAGTCTGGTCACCGTTCGTAGACAACCCGTTGACTCGGAACTGAGACTTCCTGTATCGCGTAGACAACTCGGGACCAGTGTTTCTCATACTTCTTTGCAGTTGGGTAGGTTTGGGTCGGTTGGGACCGCTGCCAAGGGACGAGTGATATTATTTTGGACTCCGGATTATTGGTACAGACCTAGACCTGCGGCGGCTGCTTACAGGTAGTTGGTGACGGGTATTCGCTTATTGCAAATACGCGTGCTTCTGTCAGATTTTGATATGAAGTTGGATATAGATATTGTTGTGTGCGACAGCATCTGTATGACATCAGCTTCATTGTATTCATTACTTTACAAATAAAAATATAGCATTGATATTCATTAACAATATGAATGGTTTCAATCTGACACTGTCCAGCTTCAATGCTATTAGGTGGACAAATTATACAGCAACCTATTCAATCTGACTATCATCCTATTTCAATCTGACACTGTTCAGCTTTAATGCTACTAAATGGACAAGTTATCCAGCAACAAGTGGATACCCGTCTTAACAAAAACGCAAGTACAAACTGAAACTAGGTCTCATTAATCCTCTCAGGGAGCTGAGGCAACACTTGAACCACCTAAGAAATTTTCGCCAAGAAAAGGACCGACCGAAACGCAAACTATTTCAGAGAAAGAAAAAGTGTCCGTGCGAAGAAGAGTCCATCATCAGCACCGAAGAGAAACCCAGTCTTCTAGGACGAATCTTCTCAAGTAACGGAACATACAGAAAGAAGAAGAAAGTTCAAGACGAAGAGTCAAGTGCAACTCTACAACTAAGAAGATTATTAAGGATGGACTTCAGAGTCACGATCTGGGATATAGATAGTACTATACTGGCCACGCAGCTGACCCTCATAGATCGTGATCTTTTCGTCCGAATTCCCTCCGAGGAGATCGAGATCTTGGTCTTCCAAAGAAACTCCAGAAACGCTCCTAATTTAGCAGCCTGGATAGCCTTCAGTCATCGAGTGTCTTGTTTGACTGTTAGCGAGATTCTAGCGACGAGGAAGTTAGCCATGAGGAGTAGAGTCATCGCGAGATTCGTTAATGCCGCTAACAAGTGTTTCGCTATGGGAAATTTTCATTCGTGCAGGTCCATTTTGGCTGGGTTACAGGCGCCGCCTATTTATAGGCTACGGAGCAGTTGGTCCTATTTGCGAACGCATCATGCTAATAGGTAGGTAATCGGGTACAGTGAATAGAAATTTGGACACATAGCTAATTGGTAGTAACGTGGTACAATGAGTAGAAAGGACACGTAGCTAATTGGTAGTAACGTGGTACAATGAATAGAAAGGACACGTAGCTAATTGGTAGTAACGTGGTACAATGAATAGAAAGGACACGTAGCTAATTGGTAGTAACGTGGTACAATGAATAGAAAGGACACGTAGCTAATTGGTAGTAACGTGGTACAATGAATAGAAAGGACACGTAGCTAATTGGTAGTAACGTGGTACAATGAATAGAAAGGACACGTAGCTAATTGGTAGTAACGTGGTACAATGAATAGAAAGGACACGTAGCTAATTGGTAGTAACGTGGTACAATGAATAGAAAGGACACGTAGCTAATTGGTAGTAACGTGGTACAATGAATAGAAAGGACACGTAGCTAATTGGTAGTAACGTGGTACAATGAATAGAAAGGACACGTAGCTAATTGGTAGTAACGTGATACCATGAGTAGAAAGGACACGTAGCAAATTGGTAGTAACGTGGTACAATGAGTAGAAATTTTGACACGTAGCTAATTGGTAGTAACGTGGTACCATGAGTAGAAAGAACACGTAGCTAATTGGTAGTAACGTGGTACAATGAGTAGAAATTTTGACACGTAGCTAATTGGTAGTAACGTGGTACAATGAGTAGAAATTTTGACACGTAGCTAATTGGTAGTAACGTGGTACAATGAGTAGAAATTTTGACACGTAGCTAATTGGTAGTAACGTGGTACAATGAGTAGAAATTTTGACACGTAGCTAATTGGTAGTAACGTGGTACAATGAGTAGAAATTTTGACACGTAGCTAATTGGTAGTAACGTGGTACAATGAGTAGAAATTTTGACACGTAGCTAATTGGTAGTAACGTGGTACAATGAGTAGAAATTTTGACACGTAGCTAATTGGTAGTAACGTGGTACAATGAGTAGAAATTTTGACACGTAGCTAATTGGTAGTAACGTGGTACAATGAGTAGAAATTTTGACACGTAGCTAATTGGTAGTAACGTGGTACAATGAACAGAAATTTGGACATGTAGAAAATTTAACGCTTAGTGATACCACGCGTGGTAGTACAATATATCAGAAAAAGTAACATATGGTGATCTAACGCGTGGAGATACAGTGTATAGCAAATGTAATACGTAGTAATCTGACATGTGGTAATACAACGGGTGAATATTTGTAGTAAATCTAATTCGTGAATACAATGACAATCTAACACATGTTAATCTATCGCAAAAATAATCCTAACCTTCCTCTTCCTATAAATCTTACGATTCCTATAAATCCAGATACGAAATGATGGAACGGCTCAGCAAGATCTACAAAAATCCCTGTTGTTCCGTATATCGCCGAGCATGGACAAAAGCGGAAAGAAACGTCCCTTCCCTGCCGTACGTCGGTGATCTTCTAACAAGAGTTCTCGGTCTAAATCCAGAATCCCAACAGCAAAGTAATTCCAGTCATATGAAAAATGCAAGTCGCAGTCCCAATCGTTTCATCCAAAAGTCACTCAACAATGATGCATGTCTGAAAAGTAATCAGGATTTAGAACAAAAACAAGGATTGAGTAAACGTATACTGGAGTCTGTTTTGACTAGAATAAAAGGGGACCAAAAAACGATTTACGAGGAGAAGACAGATTTGTTGTGGACATCTAGGGAACAGGACTTAGCGTGGAAATATTTTTACCGGTGGAACAATATTGTTCTCCAACGCAGGGCTTGTGTGGAAGAAGAGGAGAAGTGGAGGAACATGGATCCGAGGATGAGACGAGTCCTCGAGGTTGTATCTTGGTTGGTGGATTGTCAGAAACGAGCTTCGGTGTTCGATTTTCCGGGACACTCGTTCACCCGTGAGTTTCTATTAAAAAATAGATACAGAGAGGATCGAGAGAACTTCTTTATTAGTATGAAACTGGAACCGCCGATGATCACTTGATCGAGAGTATTAAAGTAGAAAAAGGACGAAGTGAAAGAATGCTAAAGATACTGGTGGGAAAGTATCAAAAGTATGGTGGCGAACCTTGTACAAAATATTTATAAATAATAATTTAAAGGTTAAAAGTATAACAACTGTAAATTAACGAGGCAACAAAATTTTTGAAAATAGAGTTCGTCACCATTGTACGAATCGAGGTAGAATTGTTACGTATTATATCGAAGAACCTTATTAATTAAAGTCTTCCATAGAAATGTTCAGGTTTCTCAACGCAACTTAGGTACTCTTCGAACAATCCGTCGCCATTGTTAATCTCGTCATCGTCGATCAGGGGTATGCTGTATTCTGTAGCACAGATTAAAAAAAAACGACTTTAGAGAGGAAATAAAAGATGCAGAAGAATTGTAGAAATTAAGTAAATTTATATATATATAAAGAAAGAGAGAAAGAGAGAGATTTATATATATATATACACATTTTATATACATCGAGCGCTTGCTGGCACAGTGTATCTACATATGCTTTCTTTGTACTTACATATTTATATCATTGTTTTTAATAAAAATTTCCGATCCACTTATACACTCAAGCTTAATCGAACAATCCCGACAATGATAACAATTGTAACCAGATAACATCAAATTTTTCATCATCATTTTATTCCGAACATAGTTTATATATATATATATGTTATGTATATATTTAGTATACGTATTTCAAGCATAATGCATACAATTGTTGCTATACATATGCACACACATTGTCTCGTTTAACAAATCTCCATTCAGTCGTTACAAATCAAACGAGAGTGTTCATGATGGGCGGAAGAGTGAATCTCGAACGGAAAGATTCATGTCAAACTGTTGACTAGATAACAACGCAATCGTCGTATTTACAATAATAAAATATACAGTCGAAAATTTAAGAAATAAGGATTGATGGGAGGAGAAACACAGAAGTCGGAATAAACTTTCACTGGCACGTTTTTTCATGTATCTCGATCAGTGGAACATCGAAATCTTTACTTAACACGTTGAGTTGTATGGCGAAGTCTTAGATCTACTATGGCACACCTTCAGTACTGCTTTTAGGGCGATTGCCCTGCATTTTTTAGGGACTTGCATTCATCAGGGATTTGAGGTTTGGAACTTTTGGATTTGGAAATTTGGGTAGTGGAAGGTTTGAGAATTTGGAGGTGGGAGGATATGGAGATGTGGGGATTTGGAGGTGTGAGAATTTGGACATGTGAGGATTTGGACATGTGAGGATTTGGGTGTGTGAGAATTTGGGCATGTGAGGATTTAGGGATGTGAGGATTTGGACATGTGAAAATTTGGGTGTGTGAGAATTTGGACATGTGAGAATTTGGGCATGTGAGGATTTGGACATGTGAGAATTTGGGTGTGTGAAAATTTGGACATGTGAGAATTTGGGGATGTGAGGATTTGCATATGTGAGAATTTGGGGATGTGAGGATTTGCATATATGAGGATTTGGACATGTGAGAATTTGGGGATGTGAGGATTTGCATATGTGAAGATTTGGGTGTATGAGAAATTGGACATGTGAGAATTTGAGGATGTAAGGATTTGGACATGTGAGAATTTGGGTATGTGAGAATTTAGACATGTGAGGATTTGGGGATATAAGGATTTGGAGATGTGACAACTCAGGAATTTGAGGATTTGGGCATTTAGAACTTTAAGATTTTGGAAATTCAAGGAGTTGAAACTCTAGTTTGGAACCCAAATACTTTGGGAATTTGCAAATTTGTCCATTTAGATATTTGATCTGACTTACAGCTCTGAAACATCATAAACTGCAAGATTTGCAATTAGTTACAATAGAGTGACACGTTAATAAATCTAGGTTAGTACAAGTAAACGTTCCCATCTCACACAGAATACACAATAGCATACACTGTCAACGTGTTAAGAACATAAGAAAATATAGACTATTGTTAACTATGATTTTCTTCAACGTGTATACAATTTCATCATCATCCTCAACAGAACAAAACTGTATCACTTTATATATTGCCGTTTGCATAAAAATGAATCTTTCCATCTATTAAACTCTACATCGTTTCTATTCAACGCAATAAAACCAAGTTGAACCACGAAACAAATGAAAAAGAAATCTAAAGACATCTCAGCCGTAACATCCTAAATTTCGAACTAATCGTAAGATAAAATGCGCTCATCACAAATGCACGATCAGCATTTCGTGTCGCCACGAAGATTACAATATGAGGTTTCACAAGACGAGGTCCGAAGTTATACGATTAAATACAATACAATAAATCTCGTAGAGTATCAAAAAGAATTATCTAAGGTACCGTTAAAATTCTCTGTCTTCATTCGCGCGTGATCTAGGAGTTCAAAATAGATGAATACTTCTTGAAAAATTTTCGTTTTGATAGTCTTTCTAATACTATTTGTTGCGAGGCCCGTCGATCGTGGAAAACGTTTCTCTCTTCTACGCATTCGCGTAACCTTCAACTAAAGTGACCAGGCATCCTCCATTTTTTTCAGACTATCAGAAAAATAAATTTACTGAGAATTTAGAAAGTGGGATATTTTGAGAAGGTGGATATTTGGGATTGGGAGATTGGGAATTTGGGGATTTGGGGATTTGGGGACGTGAGGATTTGGATGTGTGAGAATTTGGGGATGTGAGGATTTGGGGATGTGAGGATTTTGACATGTGAGAATTTGGGGATGTGAGGATTAGGACATGTGAGGATTTGGGGATGTGAGAATTTGGGGATGTGAGAATTTGGGGATGTGAGGATTTGGACATGTCAGAATTTGAAGATGTGAGGATTTAGGGATGTGAAGATTTCGACATGTGAGAATTTGGGGATGTGAGGATTTGGACATGTGAGAATTTGGACATATGAGAATTTGGGGATGTGGGGATTTGGACATGTGAGAATTTGGGGATGTGAGGATTTAGGGATGTGAAGATTTCGACATGTGAGAATTTGGGGATGTGAGGATTAGGACATGTGAGGATTTGGGGATGTGAGAATTTGGGGATGTGAGAATTTGGATTTGAGGATGTGAGGATTTGAACATGTGTGAATTTTGTAATTGAGGACACAGGAATTTGAGGATACAGGAATTTGACAAGTTTGGAATTGTTGACATAATAATTTAGGTATATAGGACCTTGAAAATTTGTTAATGTAGAACCTTGAAAATCCAGAAAACTATTTATGACTTAGAAAAAGTATTAATTTAAAAATCAGAAGATATGATATCAGCTAAGTTAGCAAAATCGATATGCTAGAGGGTATAGGTTCATCCTGGTCCCCCTATAGTTACGCCAATGCTTTTACAAGTATTATAACCATAACAGTCAGTCGTTGAAACGTAGACAGGCGTTACGTAGGGCATCTTTTACGAGACCATATTTTCCCAAATACCTATTTTGTTTTTTTTGTTCATTCGCTTGAATAAAATTATCTATTATAATGTACATCCGTATAGTTGTTTAGTTACATTAAGATCACATGCCGCCAGGTTTCGGAAGATTTGTATCGTAAGCTCTGATCACGTCCGTCTGGGTCACCGATCCTCCTTCCTCTTGAGAGAATGCAAATCCATCTGCATGGCGTAGCATGCGCAATAATAAAGAGCGCAACCTATTAATCTCCGCTGTTACAACATTTAACTAGTCAACATGCATGCACTACTGGGTTAGATGTTAGAACTACGTTTCTACTGTTAGAAGTTTAATATTCTACGTTAGAGAATTAATAGATGTTAGACTGAAAGGAAGACTTAACCTTCCGCACTCGAAATATCATCTTCTTCTGAAATATTTCAGTTTTTAATTCCAACCCTACTGTTTTTAAAAGATTTGAAAATTCTAAATGATACAAAATTCTAGGTGACATGAGATGTCGCTAGATTCCTAAGTCCCCAGGTTTCAAAGTTTCAATTCACCAAAGATTCAAACTTCTAAGATCACAAAATTTGAGGAGTGTAAATTTCTAGATCCAAAGTTTCAAAGCCAGATCCCAAATTTCCAATATACCCAATTCGAAAATTCCAACTAACAAAAAGAGTCCTCAACTTCATAATTCTATGAACAAAGTCCCACCATTCAAAAATCCCAAAACCTCGAGCAAAACAATGCTGCTCAAATATTTCTAAACCACCATCAAATATTTATAAACCACTAATAACCTTCGAGTGCAAAGAGTTAAAGAAACTACAAGATAGCCTAAGTATAACCGTAAAGCGTATGTACACAGTTAAAAGCGTACGTTAGTAAAACAGTGCGCGTGCGAGTATTTGCCCGATCGAAGAACTTTCTATCGAATAAGGCGAAAGCCGTGAAAGAAACGAAGCGCGTGCTCTGAGATTACAGTGCGTTTAGTAAGAGATAAAATAAAAAGAATATACCAAACGATGGAGCTTAATCAGACAAAGAAACTGTACAAAAGTTCTTCCATGTTAATTCATTCCGTTATTTCTGTTGGCCCGTCGTGATACTACAGATAAAACAACTTACGTGATAGCTCCACCTCGACATTAACTCTGGAGGCGGCGTTTGATCGCCTGGTGAAAACGCTTTTTACGTTTTTCAGTAGCCGAGCCGTCTCCGTCAATCTGTAAAGCCGTGCATTCAAACAAAAATTCGTTTTAGAAACACTCGTCTGGATAGCGGTTGTCCTCATCCTTACGCGTCTTATCTAATTTTTTTCCTCAACTTTCTGACCGGTCTGATGGTTACTTTGTCTATGGTACATGCGGTGCGATCGTTAAACAGACGGTGCACGTCTTTCTGATTCACACCCTATTTTATTTTACATCCCCTGAACTTGATGCAAATTAAACTTTTAAAACCTTGACCTTCAAAATCAAGGTGAGGTACTACCGTTTGCTTGAGAAGATAAGTCTTCAGAATCTGTAATTTGTATGTCTTTCTGATTCACACCCTGTTATTTTATTTTACATCCCCTCTAGATGCGAATCAGACTTGTAAAACCTTGACCTTGACCTTTAAAATCAAGGTGAGGTTCACTACCACTTGTAGCGCTTGAGAAGATAAGTCTTCAGAAACATAGAACTTTACCTCTTGGAAGTAATGTTGATCATTGATTCAGAGGTGTAGAATAACACTGTACATTCTATATCTAAAACACTAATTTATCATAGACTATTCACTGAAAACTTGTTCTAATTTATCTAAAAATTAGAACAATGAAAATTTGTTAGCACCAGTTTGTCTAAAAATTTTCGTTGAAGAAAATCCTACACAGAAAGACCATATTTGAAGTGATAGAAAAATATAGTGAGAGTGATTACTCATACCGCGGTGCTGTTGCAAGCGAAACGTGGAACGATCATGCGAATCGATTAATTAGCGGTGCTTTCGCCTGTAAATGTACGATTAACAGGAGCACTGTGAGTTACCAGCTACTGGGGGTACTTACACCTCGCGAGGTCGGCGATGGCATGCACAGGCCTTCACGGGATACCGCGAATAAAACATACCAGAAAACCGCATTAACAAACAGCACTTGATACTGGACACGTATGTAATCAACAAGACAATTAATTCAATCTCAATGTAATTAGTTACAATGTTCCTGACTTTCTATGCACGGACAAAATTAGAATTGTGCAGTAATAAAATATGCATGGTATCGTTAAAAGCTTCGACTTATACTACTATTCACACACATGAAACATTCGTTACTTACTGCTAAAAATTCTAGAGAGAATGATAAAATGTTAGATGTGATATATTATAGATGAAGATGAGACGTTTTATGATGTTATTTAAAAAGAGCTACGTTAAATGAATATACTCCTTCGTTACTTGCTACTTAAACTTCTAAACTGATGCTAAATCTATAGGTGGGAAGAGAAGAAAACATTATTTATCTCATTTATATACAAATGTATAATAGACGTTGTACTACACATGTACAAAACAACACGATACATATAATACTCGACATTGTATAAAAATAGTTAACAGGTACAATTTTGGAAGCTAAAGGATAAAGGATTGTAAGATATCGGAATGCTTACGGAATCCACATTGGACAGGAGTTTGTTGAAAGTCTTTAGGAAGATGGAACATGGGATGATGTAGACGAAAAGTATTCTGTATGATGAGTGAACCATAAATCACGCGCCGCGATCGTTAGTGGGTAGATTCTGATCTTATTTCGCCTTCTTGGCGACCAGACCGAGGCCCAACACCAAATTAACCATCGCCTCCTCGAACATGACCTCCTGTTGCAATTTTTATATGTCCACTCAATCGTGATGTTTTAAATATTAAATGTAGCGTTTTTGTTAAAAACTTTTAAATAAAAATAAAAAAAAAAAATGATTGCATTTTGAAAAAAACTACTACGAAAGCAGATCAGAAATATAACTCATCAAGGCTGAGACAATATACCGCTATATGCATGCACCTAGATGATTGGTTAGTCGAGATTAAATTTTGAAAACTATGAAAATCAATTATCGTATGCTGATAAATAGATGTTCATTTGATCGACCTTTATTTTTACAATATGACACTGATTAAGCCATGCATATTGAACATTAAAAGAATGGACTTTTTCCAGATTATCTACCAATATTTCATGCAGTGTGTACACCATCTTAATATAGGCAAATTTATAAACATGGGAGAAATATTATTAGTACTTTATCGATATAAATTACTAAGAACATTCCTCATTATTGAGAATCACGCGTATTAAACCGCTAAGTTTATTTTATATAAAAAAATAATATTAAGTGTAACAATACTTACGAGCTTCTGTAATCATGGCTGTTGAATATGTCTCCGGGATCAGATTTTCTAATTTCGTTTTCCCTGGCTGCCGCGGTTACAGACTTCCATATTGTATTTTTCACTCTGTAATTGAAATTATTTCGTACACATTGTACTGATTATTTAGGGATATGATCTACCGATATCGATACTGAAATATAACTTACGCTTTAACTGTAACATCCAAGAGCAGTACTGCCGATGGTATAAGTATCAAACTCAGCCAAAATACGGGTGACGAAAACAACATCCGATCGTTACCCACCATTACAGCTCCCACGTTCAAAGCAGGCCAGAAATTGCTGAAATTCATCAAAATAGTTTCGATGATTCTCTCAACGTGAATATAAATGCAAATATATATCATGAAAATTACCTGTAAATCAAAATAAATAAGAACCAAAGCGCAATAGATCCCCACGTTGCTACATGAGTAACCCACGTCCAAGAATTTATTATTAAACCTGCCTTCCCACATACAGTCACTACAACATACTATTGACGAATCTAGATATAATGATATTTCCAACAGAAACATATCAACCGTAGTAAAGTAAAACGTACAGTATACACAAAATTCCCTAGCATTATATATCCACCATCTCTACCGTTCGACCAGATGACGCCTTCTTTCAGAACCATCAACGACAACCAATAGAGAAGAGACGAATGTATTAAAGCATTTGCGATCCAAATCCAAAACACCTGTATAAACAATTCGGTGTAAGGCATAATGTTATAAGCATTAACTAGATAAAGACTAAGATGGGCCTGAGGCCCATATTGCGAAACATATTGTTGAGATCACCTTAATATTAAACGAAGATTCCCCAGTATTCTTTGTTGCATACAATGCAGGATGAGCTAAATGAGTCTCTGCGGAACATACTTTATCAAAAAGTCCCATCGCTAATGGAGGTGCTGCCGTAAAGACCTGTTGTGAAACACCTCTATTACATCTTGCGACATTTTAAATTTGCACTGTAATTTGCACAGGGACTCTGTTACTTACAACATTATAGAGACCTATAGACCATCGTTCAAAAAGGATTTGTCCGGACCAGCCGGAGGAAATAGCAAACCACAATTCAATAACGTAGAGGCAAATATTTTTGTAAAACGAGTATAGTATCAATTTACACATTCTGCTATAGTTCCAAGAACCATGGACAAATAATAAACGTTTCAGAAAACGAAACTGCGCGATAGAATAGTCTGAAGCGCAAGCTGCCTGAAGACCTTCAACGCCTGAAATTCCTACAAATAAATAACACATGTTAGTAGCATGTATTCTTCTTTCCATTAGAAGTAAAAAATTAGTAAACTTACCAACACCAATATGAGCTTTCTGAATCATGGCTACATCATTTGCGCCATCTCCGATTGCAAGTGTGACGGCTTTTTTATTACTCGTAATTAAATCGACAACCTGGAAAATTATTATGTTACTAAACTGTGTCTTTCTCCTTTGAGAAAGTAACATATCAAGATTTATTATACCTCTGCCTTTTGCATTGGTGAAACTCTACAACATATAACAACTTTACAAGATGAACATAAATCCAGAAAATCCATTCTAATATCACAGGATAATGCGAAGTCTAATGTATTCCCATCGATGATGAGAGCTACATCGTTTTGACATTTTAGATCGATCCCAAAATCAAGACAACGTTGAATTATAACCTCTCTAGTTTTCTGTAAGTGCAAAATATTATTCTACAAAACGTCCACATGAATTTATACGATCAAAAATAATAGCATTCTCCCTTACATCTAAAGATAGTTCATTAATAATATACAATGGCATTCCATGAGTAATCAATTTACAAGAGTAGCCAATATTAATAGCAGTTTCCTGCTTGTCACCAGTTAATACCCATACATTAATATCAGCTTGTAGAAGAGACTGTATCGTTTCTGGTACCTATGAAATCACGAGTATTACAATTACGCAAATTACAAACACGAAAATATATATAAATTCACTCACTTGATCTTGTAATTGATCTTCGATAGCAGTCGCCCCTAATAACCTTAATTTTGTTTCGATAAGATTCGCGGCGTTTTCGATCATACTTTCACGATTTGCTAAACTAATTGTTGCATTGTGATAAGTTTCTCGCCACCACTGATTAAGAAGAAAGTTTTAATAAATGCAAAATGAAGTGTGATAAAGTAGATATGACGCTTACCTGATACAAAGTTTCAGGTATATCCGCAGCAGCGAAACAAAGTGTTCTTAGACCTTCAGTTGCAAACGCTTCCAAATGTTCCAAGGTTACATCACGAAAGTCGTTCGAACCAGTCTGTTCGGGATCATTATCTTCTACAGAGGGTGGAGATAATCTTTCATAAATAACGGAATCTGCGCCTTTACAAAAAAGTTTGATTTTTCCGTCTGGCGTTTTAACAATTACCGACATTCTTTTCCTAGCTGACGTGAATTCTATTACATTTAATATTTCGTACCGAAGCCTTTCGCCTAGAGCTATTACTTCCACGTAGCTAGGCGTTCTTGTATCGAACACGTAATTAAATTTGCGTGCTCCATCTACTAATGCCCTTTCATCTATGCAACAAATAAAATGTAGATAAATAAATCAGAATTCGTATATTAAGGAACAGAACTGTGTGTAAATTACCAGGAGATGCAGCATGATATATGATAGTATCATCTATTTTTTCGGGAATAACAGTGTGACATACTGAGAGCATGATCATAAACTCGTGGAGTATCTTTGCATGATACGCGGCTTTTTTATCGGCAGGACGAGAAGAATCTTGTACTGATCTTCCTTCGATAATGTCCTTAATTAATTCGCTATTAGCACTACTGCCACCTTCATTCTCATTTATAGGATCTGGCAAACTGAAAGGCATTACTATTTAGTAAAAAATAATGGGAATAAATATAAGATAAAAGATCACATGTTTTAACATACTTACTCGTACATCTTTCCTCCAATTGAACACCTTTTAAATTCCATCACGTTTTTTGTCAGAGTTCCAGTTTTATCGGTAAAAACATAATTAACCATACCAAGTTCTTCATTAAGATTACTTGTACGAGCCATTGCAGGAGTGTCAGTTTCTGCATGGTACATTTCAATATCCATATTGATAAATGTGGCTTGAACAAATCTTACAACTTCCAATGTAACTTGCAATGAAATGGGAATTAAATTGTTGAATAAAATAATGAATGTTAAAAGATTAAAAGCAAAATTTTTAGTCATTTCCTCTGAAATAAATAAAGATTATTCAGTTATGAAATCGTGACTTGCAAAAACATAAAGAAGATCAATAAGTTACCTTGTAAACCTAAATACCACAATCCATCACTATTACTTTTCGTCCATATAACATTGCATACTGCAGACAGAAGGCACAATAAAAGAAGTATAAAGAACAACATGAGTATTTGTGTATTGGTCAGTCGGTCCAATGTAGACCTTTTGAGAGGTGCAGTTGTAGTATTATTCTGCATAAGTTTAGTATCATGCCCTGTATAGATTACTACACCAAAAACCCAACGCGTATTCCTTAGCATTGCTCCACGAAGCAATACTTGATCAGGTCCCAAAGCTACGCTTCTAAAGAATATATGCTCATATTGTTTCAATGAATTTCAAACCATTTAATTGTAAATGTATACAGAAAATATCCATACTGTTTATTAGTTTCCCTTAATACTCCATGAAACTCATACAGATGCCTGTTTGGTGGCTCACACTGAATATTTGCACGAAAATTCATTAATTCTGCAGTATCCAAGAGACTGGCAGTGTCAGGATGGGCTTGCCGTATCTTCAAATTTGTTTCTCCATCCAAATTGGCAGTCTCTATGAAAGACATACCCTGTGGCTCCGATGATGATAACAAGATCAAATCAGCAGGGAAGAAATTGTTGTTACGGACCTATGCATATCAAACAAAATGACTCTAGAATGCAATGAACAGTGGTAGTATGAATAATCTTGATGAAAACAAGATCTAACCTTAACTACATCACCAACTGCAACATGCCGCCACTGAATCCATTGCCAATGCCCATCTCTCAAAACCTCTACTTCACGCATATTGATCTCATCATCTGCCCTATGCCTTTTCTGTAACAAATAATGCTATTCAAATATCTAATAAGAATTAAGATACAACTATAGTGAAAAATACCTACAATATCTTCAATTATTTCTTTCAATGCAGACACACTAAGAATAAAAATTAATGGAACCAAAGTTGTATAACGACCTGTAGGTGATACATCCGGTATTTGCTGAAATTAAAGGTGAACATTAGGATCTGAGAAATATAAACATGGATGTATTTGTAAATTTTAATACCTGCATAAGGGCGATGAACAGGAAGAAGCAATTACTGTATCGACGAAATTGTTCAAAAAGGAACATAGGTATGAACGAAAGAAATGAGTACTTTGCGGTAGTAATGTGATTATTTTTGTATTTTGCGGGCTGGTGAGGAGCATTTATGAAAACCACCCTTTCCTCGCTACTATCGTGTTGCGATGACCGCCGATCGTCACCTTGGGACCCACCATTTTCTGCTCTTATAGGACCAACTATAACAAAACCAATACATAAGACTTTCGTATTATCCTAATATTTTTTGTTACAATTTACAAAGCTAATTTTTATATACATTTCCCTAAAATTAATTCAATAGAGATTACAAAAAATTTTTCGCTTAGAGCTATCCGAACCGGCGCGCAGAGGATATACTTTGTATAAGTCCTTTATTATATTATAAAAAATATCTTAAACCTATAAGATTTATTACATAATTTATTTATTCGATTGGTCATGAATTAGAAAGACCCAGTACGCGCCGGCCCTGCTCATATTTTTTACCAAGCATCTCTAAAAATGTTTCTTATCTGTTTATCTAGTGATCACGTGGTACTTCAATCATGTTACGTTTTCGTAATATGTTGACTTACGATTTTGAGCGTACAAATAAAGATGAAAACGAGCTCTGAGTTCGTTGAACCATTGTATCACCTTCGTACTCGCTACTTCCATATTGTTGTTTGTTAGATGAAATGTCTTTCACATCACTTCCCTTCGGCAATATGATTCAAATTTAACACGCGATAAGATAACATACCAATACAACTGATCATCACGTATGGATTAATCGCCAATAATTCAAGGTTATAAAATCAGAAATTCTATTTGACTGTTATTACATTTGCTCAAATTATACGACGTGAACTCGATGATCAAACTGTGAAGAAGAACTTGGTCACTGTGCTATGTTATTCAAGAAAACGTTGACGTAGCTTGCGCTAACATCTTGGAGGTTATAGCTGCATATCTAAAGAGGAATTCTATAAAAAATTCTTATCGCGGTCAATAAATACAGACCGGTAGAGAATTACTTAAACGCCGGTTGGACGAAAATAATTTCCCATTTGATGTGTGCTTATACAATAATCGATTTTACGATTATACAGCAAAGAAACAGCATAAAATAATTAACAAAATTTACTATACGTTGTGAGAATTAAACTTTGGATTTTGACTTCATACGTAACTTTTTGCTTATCATAATTTAAACGTGTCGGAATTATAAATATATCGAAGTGTCTTAACGTATACGCCCAATATCAGATGCATATATACACAGGTGCAACGAAAACTTTTTTAAGAAAGTTGGAGGGGGTTTTCAAGTATCTACACTAAGTTGAAAATTTAGTGAATTGTAAAAATTGGAGAAACTAAAACGGGTGGTGCGTTTCTTACCCCTACGTAATTTGCTCTAGGAAAACCTATGCGTCATGCTCACCACTGAACATGTGAGTTACACATTGTTACCAATCCCACGTACCTAACATTTTAAATTACATTACAGAAAACAAACATTGTGTAACATCGAGCTAGTCCGTAGGCGTTAGATAGTTATTCTCTGATACTGTCACGTATCATATCGCGAGATGCGTGTACACAAAATGTTTGAGCTCATAGATCCCATAGTTTCTCGGCACCAATCATTTAATAATTACTTCCGGCGATATATTATCCATTCGTACGTCACCGTTACTAAGTTGTGTAACTATGTAGAAATCGGAGGTGGAGTTTTGAACTATCAGATTAAATGGGATCAAGATAACCGTGGAACAGTAAACAAATTTACACTCGAATGCTTCACTGTCGACCAAATTAGATCGAAATTAATTCACTATATTAGTTTGGCATTTTTTCATCGTCCCCGAGAATCTCGTTAGCTCGACGAAGAAAAGATAATATGCACATTTTGTGGAAACCTGTGCGTCTGACAGTTAACATACACTAACAGAACACTTTTCTGTACGAGATAACGATCGGTTAAACAAGCTACGTATCTGCGTCATCGTGCCGGAAGAAGGCTCGTGCTTGACGCCACACCCCTACCATACTCGGCATAAAACGTGAGTACGCGTAATACAGTACACCGTATTAATCCGTAGATAATAATATTAAACCGAAACCGAGCCTAATTCACGAACATTCGCCAGTCAAAAATATCCATGACCACATTACGCTTGCAAATTTCCTCGTCAGACTGACTGTAGTACGTAGGTGGCACTAGCCATCAGCTACTTCTTTACCGAGGTATATACGGTTCGATAGGTCGTCAACGTTTCACGAATAATCTTTAATCCTCGATTTATATTCGATTATTCAGGGAATCAATGAAAATACAAAAGCAGAATTTTTATTTATCGCATGACGAGTGGTCGAAAACATCCGCCTTTTGGATTCGAGAAATATGCAGTGTAGTAACTGCGGTGCCGGGTCAATCGTAACCTAGACCTACGAAGCGCGTATAGCGACGGATCGACCAAAATGGAGCACTTCAAGTTTTGAACTTGCACGCTAGCAAAATATTCTACTGGTTCAAAAATTATAAACAGATAAATTTAGAGATTCATGAAATTAAATATAAATTTGAAGGACGTCTAAAAATGCGGGGTCTAAAAATACTCAGAAATTTACAGACATCTCCAGGTATTTTTAAGGGCATCCAGATTTAAGGAGATCAAAGAATATTGAAAAATATCTGCAACTACCCGCAATAATTTTAAGAAATTCAAATCTGAAAGTATCTAAAAAAAATCTATACATCTGTATACAGTACAGAAAACTAGAAACATAAATTAATTTAAAAATTTCTAAAAAAGGTTAGAAGTGTGAACCTCTAATAACAATCGGAATTTACTTATGAGGAGGGCTCCTCAATGTCTTGATACGTCAGTGTAGAAACTGCACACGTGTGCAATTTAAAACAATGGGACCTCGAACCCTCCGCAGCATTCAAGGATGAAAAGTCGAGTGTTTAGAAAAGGGTTCCAAAACGGTGTGATACGCCAGTGTTAAGGGGGGGATTGTGCGCAAAATGCGACAGCACTGCACACGTGTTCGCCCTAAAACGCATGCGCCTGGTATCTGCAACAAGTTGGCGTCAGCACCGTGCTATACTCGAGCAGCACTCGCCGGGAATACAGGAACGTTAAGGTTGCATCAATAAACAACCTCGACGCGAGTAGACTGTGGGCCAAGGACAGTTCCGGCTAGGGTGAGAGCCAAAGGGGGTGGGTAGCTCCGCACGAATGATATCAAACCTTATTGGAAAATCCGCTCATGCCACTTTGATGAAAACATAACGATGCATCGCGTAGTTGCGAGGAAATATCAGATCAAATGAACTACTTTGCAACGATATAAAAACATAGATGAAATCAAGCAATCGATCCTGTTCGTTCAACAATATCGAACAGGTTTTGAATTAGAGCATTAGGCATTCCGATAGACTTCCAGATATTCCAGCGTCATAGAAAGTTACGTACTTGACCTTCGTCATTACGGATGCCACTGAGACTATAAACCTTATCGATGGCTATCGTTTTCGCGTACATTTTTATGAGAACGTGTATCTTTACGATCGTTCAACGTTGCGATCTCAATCTTTCACTACGTACGTCAGTATTTTCGTTGTACTCATTTATTTTGCATTCGATGAACGTTATCTAAATCGACCAGCGAGTACAATGCAAATAAGAGAAATTTTCCTGTAGATTAGTTTTTATAACGTAGAAAGAACTTACCTTCAGAAGTGGTCTCGCCAATCGCAGCCTCCTGTAGTTCGATATGTTCTCGATTTCGACGTCCACTGGCCAAAGGATCTATCCGCAGGCCGATATTATCTACGTTGTCGATACTCCCTAGGTCGATAGGACTACCGATGATATAAGGGCCGGTTTGTTCGTGATGTCCATCGTTGGCTCGAACGGGCGCAGGTGAGAAATTGTTACGAACACTGTTTTGAGATGGCGTACCGTCCATATGAGGTATGGAGGAGAGGTCCGGAGGTGTGAATGGACGTAACGCGCCAGGACTGGGAACCCGGGGGCTCCCCCTGGCAGTTGGTTGCATTGAATGCAGCGGGGCCTAAATTAATACAGATTTGTTAATTCTGGTTACTTCTCTCAACCTTCAGATTATAGGATTTACACGTAAGGGTTCTTAGGGTTCAACCACATTAACCTTTTTTTATTCGCACATGAGTTGGCAAACGGTGAAAAAAGGGGAGTGCACGACCTTTTGACCACATTTGGTCCAAACTTTTCACGGTTATGGACCTAAAAGTAATGTTACAACAGCAAAATATTAGTTTTATGTCAAGTTAAATCTCTGTATCTGTGTCCATAAACATCTAGAACTCCAATACTCAATTTTATGTCTCAATAGATTTACATCCAAAGCTGCTAACTGTTCTGGGACCACTAATGAATTAGATCACTTTAGACTTTAGATCTGTATCTCCATATCTGTGTCCATAAACATATAGGAGCCAGACACTCAATTTTAAGTCTCAATAGATTAACATCCAAAGTTGTTAACTGTTCTGGGACCACTTTAGATCACAAACGTTAGATCTTCATCACCCCGACCCTAGATCTATCTATCCTTATGTATCCTTACATAATACTCCTACATCCCAGTAATGCATAATTAATTATTTAACCAGCCTCAGATGCAAAATTTCCTGAAGTTGTAAAGCACGAGCTAATCAACGCGATTATGGAACATAACTAGCACTCTGTAACGGATTAACCTGGATTTTCCATTAACGCAATTTAAGTCAACTAGATATGAAGAAAGTTTGTAATTTCTGCAGAATTTCAAAGAGTTTATTTCGGAGAAATATTACTGTACCGTAATTGCGCGAAGTTTGGGTGAAATCAGTGTCTGGGGCATACCTTGCCGTTGTTACTGGCAGTCTTTGTTTGGCATTTTCGCTTCATAACTCGTAGGCGGCGATCATTATTAGTTCCGGAGATTACATTAACCTTTCGTTGCTCCTACCCGGTATCGAACGATACAGCGCGTGTATTCGATTTGTAAATTAAGCCAGTCTCTTGATTCGCTACTGTTAATTACCTGTCGCGTGCCGCAATCGTCTAACGCGATGAATCGTATGACACGAATTTATTACGTGACGCATTGAAAGCGTTTACGAGCTGAAATATGTTTATTACTAGAACTCGATGAAACGTAAAGAAACGATGATATAACGAAGTCAAGAATACACGATTCGTATGCTACATATTTTAGGGGAGCTTGATGAGCAAACGTTTACGAACAATTTCGAGTTCGCTGCACGAGTCATGGTTTATTTAATGGCGCTTCTTTGTACGCGATGAATCACGAATTACGATTAAATATGAGTACGAAGCGATAAAAGACCCCCCTCAAAAAAATCCAGAATATTTTTAAAATACCGTCTCCATGCTTTGAACGATATCGTTCAAAGCGATAGCAAATATTGATACTATGGGCGTGCACGGGAACAATTTACGACCCAAGCACCGTCATGCTCCGCGACAATTAACGGTTACATTACCAACCGTGATGATAACGCATCGCTAATTGTGCATATCGGTATTTTATGTATCGGTAACTTCACAATAGTTCACCTTGCAAAAACTCATCGTACTGGCACGAATAGGTAATGGAAACGAAGCATCGACGTCCTGGTAAATAGAGAGAAATTCTATTTGCAGACGTCTGAAAGAAATGAGAACAAAATGATTGTTCGGATACTGGACGTTAATAAATCAACTGTCGCTGTACCAGTACTGATGATTGTCTGCAACTTTACGGAAAATTTCCCTTGACATACTAACTGTCTTTCGAGTTCTATTTCCGTTTCAGCAGAGGCGTACGCAAAATTCGAACATCATATTTCCGATCGACGATCTATGGATCTCGAAATATTTTATTCACTGAGCATCTTCAATGGTAGAATATTTCATGCTTTGTGAAATACTGTAGAAATCTTAGGATATGGTAGACTCTCGTTATATTGCCATTTATAAGATTTTTATATACGTTAATGATTTATATTGGTTTTTAGTTATTGTACGGGTTTCATTAAGATTACGTATCTCAACACGTCGCGGATCATAAGATATGGTAGACTCTCGTTATATTGCAGGTTACAAGATTTTCACACACGTTGATGATTCATATCGGTTTTCAATTATTGTAAGGGATTCATTAAGATTACATTACGTATCTCAACGAGTTGTATCACGAATCATAGGATATGATAGACTCTCGTTATATTGCCATTTATAAGATTTTTATATACGTTAATGATTTATATTGGTTTTTAGTTATTGTACGGGTTTCATTAAGATTACGTATCTCAACACGTCGCGGATCATAAGATATGGTAGACTCTCGTTATATTGCAGGTTACAAGATTTTCACACACGTTGATGATTCATATCGGTTTTCAATTATTGTAAGGGATTCATTAAGATTACATTACGTATATCAATGAGTTGTATCACGAATCATAGGATATGATAGACTCTCGTTATATTGCCATTTATAAGATTTTTATATACGTTAATGATTTATATTGGTTTTTAGTTATTGTACGGGTTTCATTAAGATTACGTATCTCAACACGTCGCGGATCATAAGATATGGTAGACTCTCGTTATATTGCAATTTAGAAGATTTTCATACGCGTTGATGATTCATATCGGTTTTCAATTATTGTAAGGGATTCATTAAGATTACATTACGTATATCAATGAGTTGTATCACGAATCATAGGATATGATAGACTCTCGTTATATTGCCATTTATAAGATTTTTATATACGTTAATGATTTATATTGGTTTTTAGTTATTGTACGGGTTTCATTAAGATTACGTATCTCAACACGTCGCGGATCATAAGATATGGTAGACTCTCGTTATATTGCAGGTTACAAGATTTTCACACACGTTGATGATTCATATCGGTTTTCAATTATTGTAAGGGATTCATTAAGATTACATTACGTATCTCAACGAGTTGTATCACGAATCATAGGATATGATAGACTCTCGTTATATTGCCATTTAGAAAATTTTCATACACGTTGATGATTTATGTCGGGTTTCAGATATTGTACGACTTTCATTAAGATTATGAATCATAATACGTTGTGGATTATAGGATATGGTAGACTCTC